CAGAATTTACAAATTAGTCCGGGCTTTAAAAAAAATGGCATCTTGCGATGAAAATAATCATCGTAATTTTAATTCAACTATTCAATTAACCACTTTTCCAGTGAGAATTTATTTGAAAATTCATGAGCATTGAGAAAATGAATTATTAAATAATTATGGTTCAAGAATTAATGAGTAGTGAGTACAACAACACTATCTCATTTGTGTTAATCATTTTATATTTTCCTTGTGCCATCCGAAAACGAGCTGCTTCAAAAAACATCACTCCTCGCAAAATTAAACCGTTTCCATGCCAAGAGTGTCGCGCGCGCGCCTGCCTCCCTCTCGAGACTAAAGGGGTGTTTTACGAGACGACTACGTACGCACACACACACATATATGTATAAGAAGTCTAGTGCGCCACCCCCGCGAGCAGTCGAGAGTGGCGGCGCTTGAATTTCTTCATCTCGAGCAGTACATGTCTGGCGAGGAATTTATAAGAGGGAGCCGAAGAAGCAAACAGCGATCCGAAAGTGAACAGCAACAAAAGCAAGAACAAGAAGAGTTGTCTGCAAAGTTTTTGCAACCCCCCTCTCTTTTATTTCTTCGACAATAATTCCGAGTCGGCGTATTTGCATGGCGAGGAGCAGCAGCTGCCGAAGAGGGGCCTCTCGCTCGTTGGCACAATCCGTCGGCTGCTGGCGCATTCCTCCGCACAATTAAGCCGCTCTCTGGAAAAAGTCTCTTGAGAAATGAAAACTGAATTTGGCGCCGCCCGAGCGTGCAGCGAGAGGGCGAAAAAGAGTCTGTAGTTCGCGCCGCGCTTAAAAATTTATTTATTGCCTCGTAGCGAAGAAGCGAATATGGCCCTAGCTGATATTGAAAGCAGCCGGAATAGAATCCTTAGGATTTTTATCGCCCTCTGTATTACATCGTCGACTATTTTTTAGAAAAGAGCCAGTGGATGGCATGTTTATATAGTAAGTAATTTTTTATACAATATATAAAACACAAAAATAATTTTAGATTTTTTATTTCTAATTAAAGTATAAAATAAAAATTTTATAATATTTTGTTAAATTTTTGTATAAAATTTATTTTGTTAAATTTTTGCAAACATATATTTTTAACTTTTAATAATTAATCTTAAATAAAATTTTTGTACTAATTTACAATGTAATAATTTTATAATACGTATTACGTTCAAAACTTTGCGTCATCATCAAGGTGCAACCACCTCTCTAAATTGAGCTGTTATTAGGCGATATCTGAGAGAATTTGAACGTTGTAAATTAATAAAATGTTGAAATTTATAGGCAAATTACGAATTCAAAAGAAATTAGTAACAAAAACAAAGTAAAGAAATAGGATGAAAAATAGACCTCAAAATTTTAAACAATGAAGAGAAATAGATCAACACCAATAAATTACATGATTTTTAAAATTTTCATCTGAAAATCGCAATCGTCACGCTTCGTTGGTCAACTCTTCCCGAAAAGCAATTACATAAAGCAACATTTCGCGTTGTGACAGATTGAGTCAGTGGAGAGAGAGAAAACTAATATCAGTCGGAGCGACGAGTGTGGCTGAAAGAAATTTAATCTCTCTGGAGAGGCAATATTTTATATGATGCCGTCCGTGCCATCGTTTTATCGAACCCATAAGGGCCGACAATTTCGCGATATGGCCGACTTTCTTTAGTTCTTTTTTACCATCTCTGGCCGGAATGACGTCACCAGCTGGAGAATCGCAAACACATCTTGTGCATATTGCAAGGGGTGACCTCGCATGAATAAGAGGTTGCGAGTTTTGCATATGATGAACAAGTTCTTCTTGACACATTCTGCGAGTAAAAAGATTTATTTTTCTCTCTCGGATAATCTCCGTGCTGCTCGCCAAATTTGTTCATTTCCCCTAGAAAAGGAAACGGCCATTCGGCGAGAGGCGATCAATTTATAGATTCCATTTGCTATTAGCGTAAATTACGAGATTGCCGCGGCGATAAGATCAAGGGAGCTGATTGCTGGGCCCAAGGAGGCGAGGGAAATTGGAGGGTTGCGCTACTTTTGATGGCAAAATCGATGAGTTCGTCAAAGTGGAAAATTTAAATTGCCTATAGGCGAAGAGCACTACTATTTCCGCATAGGAAAAAACCTATTTATCATCATAAATAAACCTAAAAACTATTTCCCGACCCGTGATGTTCTGCATCAAAAAAAGAATGAAAGTTTTACCCCTTAGTTTAAGAAGCTGTAATCAAGATGAAACTAATAATTGAATTAATATTGAGCTTTGCATGCGGTAGTGTGGTCATACTTTCTTTTTGTGAAAGATTGTTTTATCAATAAATTTCCAGGCGTTGAATGTGAATACAAACGCGTTCTGATACACATATAAAAAGAAAATTGTTTCATACCTGATAAAATTTAAATTCTTTTCTCTTGTAGAAAAAGTGGACACTTGAAGAGAATTTTGTTTCAATATTTTTTTTATTATTATTACTAAAAACCATACTTCAAGAGCAAACAATCCTATGTTTTTCTTCTTTTTAATATTCACTGTAAGTTTCCATTCATCCCTATAAAAGTATTTAATTTATTTACGTTTTCTACATTCCACAAAAATCAAGTTCAAAAGTGAACCTTCAATTAAAGGAAGGGATCAATTATCTGAAAGGAATAAATCTCTTCTCTAGCACTTTACTAGCAAAATAACACGGTAAAAAGCATGAATGGCATGAAAGGTGAAATTAATTATTGATAATATTTTAAAATTTATTTTACAGATTTATATCAGAAACGTGCCCTTAATATTGAGGATAAAATGCTTCAATGGCGAACAGAAAAATAATTTGCGCAGCATCTTAGAATGCAGTTATTTTACAATTTGAAAGTTTTATTATTTATTACAATTTAACATGAGCGCCAAGAATGGACCGGAAATCATTATTTGCAACAAAACTGATCCACTCAGAATTGTGTCTTGCTAGTTTTTTTTTTTTTAAATTTTCTGAAAACATTTAAATTTAGAAAAGAATCGCAAGTTTATATTCACGTCATGCAAATTAATTCTAGAGTATAAATTTTCATATAATATTTATTTGAAATTCGCAGGTGTGACAGGTATTAAAACATACTTTTTCTGAGGCCATAAAAGGTGCTCTCTCTATTCGAAAACCATCCATATGATGTAAGAAGGCAATAAAAACGGCCAACTCGTTCTCGCCCGGGGCATCACCGAGCGACCCTCCTTGCAATCGAATCTGCGAACGGTCATTAAACGTAGGGTGGCAAAAAGAGGACGCGTGGGCGGTGGTGGCACGTCTGCCTTTAACATGGCACGCCGCGAATGGGCACCCGTTGTGCGTGCGAATCAATATTTCACAGCGGCGAAAAGGAAAAAAACCGCACATACCGAGCAAGCACGCAAGCTCGAGTGAGTGACACACAGACAGGATTCGCACAATGTAATCGATCCGCGCCACTTTCGCCTCTTTAAAATGCCAATAGTTGCCGAGGCGCTCCCTCCCCAGCCGAGAAATGCAAAATGAAGACGCGTGGATGGAAAGAGAGAGCAGAATGAAAAATTGATTTCCGCAAATTGGCGCCATTATCGGGCCAGCCATCGCTTTGATTCTTTTCCGATAGAGACGGAAAGTGGATGTTTATCTGCGTCACTTGTTTTTCTTGAATCAATTTATTATTCCGCGAGTTGATTTGCGTTTCCCGTTGCCAGAATTGATTTAGAGACCCAGTGAACGGCATTCTCGATCAGGAAAATCACTGCTTCTCCATTTCCACACCAAGAAAGATCGTAATGTAGAAAAAGTAGACTTTTCTCTCAATAGCTTTTCACAAGTTTTGCTTTTTTTTAAGAATGCAGCGATTTTTCGGAGTCGAGAACAGTCAACAAGCTTAAAGCTTTGGATTTTTTTATGTTTTTTAATTTTGTATTTTCAATCTCAGTCATTTAGTTATAGTTGAGAATTAGTTTATATTATAAAAATTTAATAAAACTGATAACATTTTAATTAATTAATAAAAATAAACAAACATTCATTGATATATAAAAAGAGTAAGTTAAAAAAATATTTATCAATTGGTTGTAAAATTATATATATAAAAAAAAATAAATAAAAAAAATAAAAAATAAAATGAAATGACATGAAATAAAATGAAATAAAATAAATTAGGATAATAAATAAAATAATATGAAAAAAATATAAAAAAAAAATAAATAATATATTATAAAATTTATTTTATGTTTTCTAATTATTTCAGCACAAACATTAAAAAAAATTGCATGGCAATTTTAACGCAGAAACGCTTCACGCTAGGGGTCCATTGAGCTTTAACAAGTCAATTCTTTGCTCTGCGGACAAGAGACAATGCGTCGTTTTGTAAACAAAAGTGAAACTCGCTCGTTTGCTCGCTCTGCTCTTTCTCTTGAGCACGCCTCTGCTATATATTGAGAGCAATAATGTACGCGCGCATCATCCCCCGCGGAAACGCTCGCGCGCGCATTGTCGAACAAACAATCACAGTCGATCATTAGGTGTGCGACGGAATTTGCATGTATCGATTATTGATTGCTCCTCGCAACAGAACACGCCATTGAAAGAGCCGCCTAATTTGCATGTACGTCAATCTGCAATTCATGAGATTCGCGTCTGACTGCACTTTCCGCGCGACCAACTATTGAGCTATTTTATTCTAATGGGAACAAGGACTTATGGCTTTGACAGTGACGTGGTCTTCGTGTACAAATATTTTTGGGTCCGTAGAAAAATAGGAAAGAATTTTCTTAAAAATTTACAAGAGAAAAAATATAAAGAAATTTTTTCCACATAGAATGATGAATGATCCACAATATTTCATCATTCAGGCAATATTTTTTCCTGTTTTTTTTTTGTGTTACACTTTTCAACGCCACAGCATCAGGTGTTTGTCGTCAAACGAAATTAATATCCTGAATCGTGACCTGCTCATCAAGCTAACGCTTCCGTGTCCGTTTTGTTTCAGCGCTCCTGCACGCGACGGTGATTCTGGCGGCCGCCACCCACCTGGTGGCCCCCGCGGGCGTCCCATCTGGGCCTTGCCGCCAGTCGGAGCTCACGTGCGGCGCCGCGGCGCGCCACCGCTGCGTCACCGTCACAAAGTTCTGTGACGGCGTCGATGACTGCGGTGACGGCACCGACGAACCTCGCTCCTGCACACGTAAGTCAATAGTCAATCAGTGAATTTTGTAATTCTTTCGTTTTCTTGCACACTTATCATTTATATTAGTTTATTATTTAAATTTAAATATTTATTAAACTCTACATATAATTTTATTATGATTTTGAACAAGGTTAAAAAATTTAATTGTATCTAACACTGCATAAAATTAAAATGATATTTTTATCTTTATAAAATTTCATTTCATTGTATTTTAAAAATCTAAAAAATGTGTTTTAAATTGGAACTCTAAAAACCTCAAAAATTATAATTGCTTGTAAAAAAATTTAATTAATAGCATTTAATAACTTTAAAAAAAAAACGGGTTTAAAGTAGAACAAATTGTAATGGTCTAAAATGACCAAAAGACAAATATGGTTGTTTGAACGCCTGCCAAAATTTTAATACGCAGCCTGCCGGTGCGTACTGCGAAGCCGGTTGCATATATGTCGCATCTCCGCAGGCTTTTTTTATATTGGATCTGAAATGCAAAGTTTGAGGAGGGAGACGTAGACATATTGAAAGGTTTTTCTTCCGTCTGCTTTCAGCGTGCAACCGGACCTACACGGGCGACTTGGGCAAGACTTATCAACTTTCGGTTCATAGGCCCAGAGAGGATAGACTTCCTTTTATATGTGATCTCAATTTTAAGGCGCCTGGCGGCGAGTACGGAGACATAGTTCAGGTATTTTTCCTATATTTTATTAATTTCACGCTATGATGACGTTCACGTACAATCAGAAAAATACTGTTGCATAAATTAATTAAAAATAAAAATATGAATATATAAACTTACGAGAATGATTAAGTTTTAAAATTATCAATAAATCAAAACTTATTTTATTGAAAGAAAACTTCAGTTTCTTTTTTCAAATAATTTTCATTGTTTATTATTCACAAATTAAGTCGTACATAAAATAGAAAATAATGTAAAGAAACGGCAGCTCCATTGGCAAACAAGTCGCTAAAACGCGAAACCTCAAGAGAGGTCCACGCCCGAGTTGGGCCGCAATTAATCAATATTTTGGGCAATCATTGAGAAAGATAATAACTGTTTTTCATGTACACAAAGTATTTGTAATCATTATTAAGGCCTCCTTATTGACATCTACAACTTCTGTTTGCGGAAAATCGGCCCGAAATTTTTGGACCCAGATTTTTTTATAGATTCCTGCCCACCAGTGGAGTTGATTGCTCAAAGAAAAATGGGGGGTCGCGTGGATTAATCTTGAAATATGATTTTTTGAAATTTAACATGGCGTTTTATGGAGATTTTTGTTAATGGCGATTAAAAAAAATCTGCCCAAAATTTTTTGCTCAAAATTGCACAAAATGATAATTGAATGACCCTAAACAGATAAGCAGAAAAAAATTGGGAGTTCATGGGGCAAAAATTTTGCATTGGGCATATGGGAGATCAAAAAAACCTCTTTGGTACTCTTAGCATTGCAATAAGGAGTCCTTAATTATCATTAACTGAATTATTTTAAGAGCGTGTTTCACCAAATTATAGAGGTTCATTTACGACCTGTCCTGCTCTTGCTCCTCTTTTACGGACAATAATCTTTGAATGAAAACTCCATTACCCAGTCGGTCAGTTTAATTTCCGTCTGTTTGTAGCTCACCTTTGACAGCTTCACCCTAGGCCGTTTCACGTCGTGGACGCAGGCGGGATGTCCGGACGGCGATCTTCAGATCTCCGAGTCACCGCTGGAGAGGCCGCTCGTTGGCGGTCGGTGGTGCGGAACCGCCTGGGGTCCTCCTTCGATTTACTACAGGTGAGTCCAATCTTCACTGCGACAAAGCAACGCCTGCAGACGGTAATAAAAAGGATAAAAAGAGTGACAAAGAGCAGTGCTCTTAATCTCGCAGTGGTGGTAAAATAAGGGGTGGTCATGAGGAGATTTATCGTTAAATATTATAATTTTTTGGAAATTTAATAAATAAAGCACTGTTAAAAAAAATTTAATATGAAATTGAGTTTGGAAATTCTATGGCTCATTTAATTGTGCGGTTAATATGACAATAACAAGAATTTGATCTTCAAAATTGAATTAATTGTTTTATTGAATTTAAATATATTTCATTAAATGAAAAAGTTAAACAAATATTTATTATTTAATGCGAATTAGAGATGTTTTGCAAAATTATAATTTTTGTGTCTTTAGAATACGCATGACTTGATCTGATTAATCTGATTAATCACCTAGCGATAGAAAAATAATTAATAATTATTATTTTCCCATAATAGTGAGAAGTGAGAGTACTAATTGTAAGAGTCTTTCATAGATGTTGCAATAATGTATATAATTGATAACATATTATTTTTGTCCTTCCAATTCTAACATAATGAAACTTACTATCAACGAAATATTTATTGTCCAGGAAAGGTCTTCTTTTGATTTACGCTTTTAAACATACGTGTAAGAAAACAGTAAGAAAATTTTCAAATTTTCAAATAACTTTTTATGAAATGAGTTTAATTCATTTTAGCTTTGAAAAAAGTAAAATGCGAATTATTAAATGAAAAACTTAAAAATAAAAAGAATTCGTTATTAAAATTTAAGAAATGTAAATTCCTTTTTTAAATTGAATTAAAATTAAATAATGTTTAATAAATTTTGCAAACAAGTTTGTTAATTTAAATGTCTTTTTTCACTTTGTCCGCAGCGAAACAGGCAGCGTGACTTTGCACCTGCGTCTTCTGCGAGTGCCATCGGCCGGCAACAACATTCCCTTAGGGAGCTCCGGTGCGGGCATGTCCTCGTCGATGGGCTACAACTTCGACTTTAGCGTCGGATTCAAGGTGAGCTTTCTTTTATTTTTCCGCACGCGAAACTCTCGAACTTTCTTTCTTTTGATTTCCTCGGCAAAAAGAGTAGTTTTGTGCGGTGGCGAACTTTTGACTTTTGACTTTGTCCAATTAGGTGCTATCGCGTGACTCGGCGGTGGTGCGCTTCGGGGGTGCCGCCCCCGCGTCGCCTGGGCGCCCCTTTCAGAACGTGACCACGGCGCCGCCGTTGTTCACCAAAGGCGAACGCAAGCGGAAGAAGGAAAAGGATAGGGAGGTGCACAAGGAACAACTGACCTACAACCTCGGGGACCTCATTCCCGGCACCTACTGCTCGCGCATCTACAGCGACTGCGACAAGAAGCTGTGCAGATTACAATCACCCAATTTCCCTGGGCTCTACCCGCGAAACGTCACTTGCTACTACGCTGTGAGGCAACAAAAGGTAAAAATATATCAAATTGTTAACTCTTCCCTTGTAATGTAGGATGTTAAAAGACTCAAAATTTGTGCTCAAAAAACTTTATCATATAAAAATAGAAATATTTCTGTAGAAATGGAACATACCAAAATAAGATGATTGAAAATGTCAAAATATTCAAATCTACGTCTTTAAGGGAGTAATTTGTTTCTGCCCAGGACTAATTTTCTTTCAAACGCCCATGAAAATTAAATGATTTGTGTGTTCAACATAATATTATTTTTCCGTTACATTGCGCGCAATTTAACAACTTTTTTAATCCCGAGTGATCGCAAAAATAAGAGGATTGAATAATTCAAAATATTCAAAATCTACGTCTTTAAGGGACTAATATATTTATGAGAGGACTAATTTTCTTTCAAACGCCCATGAAAATTAAATGATTGGTGTGTTCAACATATTATTATTTTTCCGTTACATTGCGCACAAATTAACAACTTTTTAATCCTGAGTGATCGCAAAAATAAGAGGATTGAATAATTCAAAATTTTCAAAATCTACGTCTTTAAGGGACTAATAAATTTCTGCCAGGACTAATTTTCTTTCAAACACCCATGAAAATTAAATGATTTGTGTGTTCTACATAATATTATTTTTCCGTTACATTGCGCACAAATTAACAACTTTTTAATCCTGAGTGATCGCAAAAATAAGAGGATTGAATAATTCAAAATTTTCAAAATCTACGTCTTTAAGGGACTAATAAATTTCTGCCAGGACTAATTTTCTTTCAAACACCCATGAAAATTAAATGATTTGTGTGTTCTACATAATATTATTTTTCCGTTACATTGCGCACAAATTAACAACTTTTTAATCCTGAGTGATCGCAAAAATAAGAGGATTGAATAATTCAAAATTTTCAAAATCTACGTCTTTAAGGGACTAATAAATTTCTGCCAGGACTAATTTTCTTTCAAACGCCCATGAAAATTAAATGATTGGTGTGTTCAACATATTATTATTTTTCCGTTACATTGCGCACAAATTAACAACTTTTTAATCCTGAGTGATCGCAAAAATAAGAGGATTGAATAATTCAAAATTTTCAAAATCTACGTCTTTAAGGGACTAATAAATTTCTGCCAGGACTAATTTTCTTTCAAACACCCATGAAAATTAAATGATTTGTGTGTTCTACATAATATTATTTTTCCGTTACATTGCGCACAATTTAACAACATTTTAATCCCGAGTGATCGCAAAAATAAGAGGATTGAATAATTCAAAATTTTCAAAATCTACGTCTTTAAGGGACTATTAAATTTCTGCCGAGGACTAATTTTCTTTCAAACACCCATGAAAATTAAATGATTTGTGTGTTCAACATAATATTATTTTTCCGTTACATTGCGCACAATTTAACAACTTTTTAATCCCGAGTGATCGCAAAGATAAGAGGATTGAATAATTCAAAATTTTCAAAATCTACGTCTTTAAGGGACTATTAAATTTCTGCCGAGGACTAATTTTCTTTCAAACACCCATGAAAATTAAATGATTTGTGTGTTCAACATAATATTATTTTTCCGTTACATTGCGCACAATTTAACAACTTTTTAATCCCGAGTGATCGCAAAGATAAGAGGATTGAATAATTCAAAATTTTCAAAATCTACGTCTTTAAGGGACTATTAAATTTCTGCCAAGGACTAATTTTCTTTCAAACGCCCATGAAAATTAAATGATTTGTGTGTTCTACATAATATTATTTTTCCGTTACATTGCGCACAAATTAACAACTTTTTAATCCTGAGTGATCGCAAAAATAAGAGGATTGAATAATTCAAAATTTTCAAAATCTACGTCTTTAAGGGACTATTAAATTTCTGCCAAGGACTAATTTTCTTTCAAACGCCCATGAAAATTAAATGATTTGTGTGTTCTACATAATATTATTTTTCCGTTACATTGCGCACAAATTAACAACTTTTTAATCCTGAGTGATCGCAAAAATAAGAGGATTGAATAATTCAAAATTTTCAAAATCTACGTCTTTAAGGGACTAATAAATTTCTGCCAGGACTAATTTTCTTTCAAACGCCCATGAAAATTAAATGATTGGTGTGTTCAACATATTATTATTTTTCCGTTACATTGCGCACAAATTAACAACTTTTTAATCCTGAGTGATCGCAAAAATAAGAGGATTGAATAATTCAAAATTTTCAAAATCTACGTCTTTAAGGGACTAATAAATTTCTGCCAGGACTAATTTTCTTTCAAACACCCATGAAAATTAAATGATTTGTGTGTTCTACATAATATTATTTTTCCGTTACATTGCGCACAATTTAACAACTTTTTAATCCCGAGTGATCGCAAAAATAAGAGGATTGAATAATTCAAAATTTTCAAAATCTACGTCTTTAAGGGACTATTAAATTTCTGCCGAGGACTAATTTTCTTTCAAACACCCATGAAAATTAAATGATTTGTGTGTTCAACATAATATTATTTTTCCGTTACATTGCGCACAATTTAACAACTTTTTAATCCCGAGTGATCGCAAAGATAAGAGGATTGAATAATTCAAAATTTTCAAAATCTACGTCTTTAAGGGACTATTAAATTTCTGCCGAGGACTAATTTTCTTTCAAACACCCATGAAAATTAAATGATTTGTGTGTTCAACATAATATTATTTTTCCGTTACATTGCGCACAATTTAACAACTTTTTAATCCCGAGTGATCGCAAAGATAAGAGGATTGAATAATTCAAAATTTTCAAAATCTACGTCTTTAAGGGACTATTAAATTTCTGCCAAGGACTAATTTTCTTTCAAACGCCCATGAAAATTAAATGATCTGTGTGTTCAACATGATATTATTTTTCCGTTACATTGCGCACAATTTAACAACTTTTTAATCCCGAGTGATCGCAAAAATAAGAGGATTGAATAATTCAAAATTTTCAAAATCTACGCCTTATGGGTCATAGTCAGTTGTATTTCGTTGCACTTGTACTTTGTATTCACTTGTACTTAAGGCGGGGACGACCATATTTGAGGATGAGTTTTGTGCAGAAGGAAGGGCTTAATTCTTGATTCTGAGCGACTTGGGGAGCTAATGAATATGCAAAAATTGTTGCACTTCTACTTGGTTGCAGTTGTATTTTGGGTATAGCAAAACGTTGCAGTTGTACTTTAAACAAATTAAAGGTGTATTTTTTCTATGGTTGTAGTTGTACACAGGTTGCAGTTGTACTTTTATAATTTTAAGGTGTTGCATTTGTATTTTTGCTATGGTTGCACTTGTACAGGGGTTTTAAAAGGTTGCAGTTGTATTTCAGGGCATTGAAAATGTCCTATTTGACGTCCCACTTGTACTGCCGTCCCATTTGTACGGCATGGCAATGTTGCAACGCAGGGGAGCAAGGATAATATGTAGGAAAGGTGCGCATAGGTGCTTGAGAGTTGCCGCCAAAGGGGAATATGAATTTAGCTGATGCAAAAAGGGGATCACTTTGCATTCATATTATTGAATTTCATTTTTCTGATGGGAATTTGAAATTTACAAAAAAAAAAATAGAGTAATTTTCAATTTAAAATTAGTATCATAATTTGTTTACTGTCAATTTGTGAAAACAGTTTGTTTTTACTTTTAATTAAATTGTTAGTTATCAGCAGTTATCAGTATGTAAGAAATTGTCTTCAAAGGAGCGTCTATTTCACTAGAAAATAAAATATATATACTTTTCGAATATTTTGTCAAAAACAGGAAGAATGGAAATAGGTCTGTAGTTTTCAAACTTGTCGTGGGCAGAGTCTTTGTAAATTGCGCAATGCAGATTAGATGCACAAGTGCACTACCTCCACTCAGAACATCACGGACGGAGATTTTATCAACTCCGGGGCCTTGTGTGAGAAGTTTGTTGAAGTTTATTAAGAATTAAATTAGTATGGTCTGCACTGGCCGAGCGCAGGGCGAGCGCAGGGCGAGCGCAGGGCGGAGTCCCGCAATAGGGCCGAAAAGAACAAGGCCGAAAACGGCTGAGCGGAACAAGGCCGAAAAGGAATAGGGCCGAAAAGGAACAAGGCCGAAAGCTGAAAAATAACCGATAATCGTGAGCGCGTTCAGCTCAGCAAACATTTAAACTGAAGATCCTTTGAGCGCCGATACCAAAATCCTTCATGCGGCCGTTTCGCATTGGAAAATTGACGAAAATTTAAAATTTTTTGTAGAATACTTCAGCAAAATATTCTTCATTTTAGACGAGACACATATCAGAAAATCACAGAAAATTTTATCTTTTTATTTTATTTAAAATTTAACTAAAAATACCCACATCGCAATTTTGACACATTACGTAAATTTTCACGAGGAATTGAATGACGATGTCAAATTTGACTTTTAGCTTGAGGCACATCTTCAAATTTGAGTTTGAATTTGAAATAAATGAACTACGATTTTAAAATTAATTTATTTTTGTAGATATTGATGAGAAAAATCCAACCATATCCAGATTGTCCCTGTGCGATCACGGAGCCGAGATAATTAAGTTTTTTTATTTTTTCAAAATGTCCCGTAAAACCCGCAATTTTGAAAATTTTTTGATAAAAATTTATGGAGTTTGCTTTCAAGTCATGAGGATTAAGCCACGAAAATTTCAGGAAGCCAGCATCAAATTTGGGGGTACCCAATGTGGTTGGCAAAAGAATTGCTCAAATCTAAAATATTCCTTCCAGCCACACATGAATTATTGGAGATATATCTCACAGGTTGACTTATAAGTACGATGATAAAGAAAATTGTGTGTCCTGGTGTTTTCTGAAACGTCCCGTTTCTTGTAGGGATGACGAGTTGACATAGCACGGTAATAGATGCTTTCCTAAAGAAACCGGTTCTTCCTTTTAAGTTTGCACCGGTATTTCGGCCTTGTTCCTTTTCGGCCCTATTCCTTTTCGGCCTTGTTCCGCTCAGCCGTTTTCGGCCTTGTTCTTTTCGGCCCTATTCCGGCACTCCCGCAGGGCGAGCGCAGGGCGAGCGCAGGGCGAGCGCAGGGCGAGCGCAGGGCGAGCGCAGGGCGAGCGCAGGGCGAGCGCAGGGCGAGCGCAGGGCGAGCGCAGGGCGAGCGCAGGGCGAGCGCAGGGCGAGCGCAGGGCGAGCGCAGGGCGAGCGCAGGGCGAGCGCAGGGCGAGCGCAGGGCGAGCGCAGGGCGAGCGCAGGGCGAGCGCAGGGCGAGCGCAGGGCGAGCGCAGGGCGAGCGCAGGCCTTGTGTGAGAAGTTTGCTGAAGTTTATTAAGAATTAAATTAGTATGGTCTGCACTGGCCGAGCGCAGGCCGAGCGCAGGCCGAGCGCAGGCCGAGCGCAGGCGAGATTTTTCGTGGTATAGGAAAAAATGTAGCCCATCAAATTCGCAGGCCTGCGCTCGGCCTGCGCTCGGCCTGCGCTCGGTCAGTGCAGACCATACTAATTTAATTCTTAATAAACTTCAACAAACTTCTCACACAAGGCCCCGGAGTTGATAAAAAATCTCCGTCCGTGATGTTCTGAGTGGAGGTAGTGCACTTGTGCATCTAATCTGCATCGCCCAATTTACAAAGACTCTGCCCACGACAAGTTTGAAAACTACAGACCTATTTCCATTCTTCCTGTTTTTCACAAAATATTCAAAAAGTATATATATTTTATTTTCTAGTGAAATAGACGCTCTTTTGAAGACAATTTCTTACATACTGATAACTGCTGATAACTAACAATTTAATTAAAAGTAAAAACAAACTGTTTTCACAAATTGACAGTAAACAAATTATGATACTAATTTTAAATTGAAAATTACTCTATTTTTTTTTTGTAAATTTCAAATTCCCATCAGAAAAATGAAATTCAATAATATGAATGCAAAGTGATTCCTTTTTTGCATCAGCTAAATTCATATTCTCCTTTGGCGGCAACTCTCAAGCACCTATGCGCACCTTTCCTACATATTATCCTTGCTCCCCTGCGTTGCAACATTGCCATGCCGTACAAATGGGACGGCAGTACAAGTGGGACGTCAAATAGGACATTTTCAATGCCCTGAAATACAACTGCAACCTTTTAAAACCCCTGTACAAGTGCAACCATAGCAAAAATACAAATGCAACACCTTAAAATTATAAAAGTACAACTGCAACCTGTGTACAACTGCAACCATAGAAAAAATACACCTTTAATTTGTTTAAAGTACAACTGCAACGTTTTGCTATACCCAAAATACAACTGCAACCAAGTAGAAGTGCAACAATTTTTGCATATTCATTAGCTCCCCAAGTCGCTCAGAATCAAGAATTAAGCCCTTCCTTCTGCACAAAACTCATCCTCAAATATGGTCGTCCCCGCCTTAAGTACAAGTGAATACAAAGTACAAGTGCAACGAAATACAAGTGAGACTCTCCCTTCGCCTTTAAGGGACTATTAAATTTCTGCCGAGGACTAATTTTCTTTCTAACGCCCATGAAAATTAAATGATCTGTGTGTTCAACATAATTGGGGATAATCAATTGACTTAGCTCTCCTAGGATAAAAAATTAAGAATTCAAAAATTTACTTAAGTTAAGCTCATCACAAAACCGCACTGAAAAATTACTTTGCAATTTATCCCTAATCTTATTTTCATGTTTTTTCAGACTTTTTAGAGTGATATGATTTTTTAGCATTAATTGACTTCAAATAAAGATATTTCTTGCATCAGATCTCAACTTTGACATTGACATTTTGCGTCAGAATTTTATTATCAGGATGTGCTTTTGCTGCCGAATTGCACAGACTTGAATACTAAACACGAGCGAGCGTGATTTGTAGCGATGCTAGTCACGCTCCTTTTTAACAAGAGGCAATCAGTCTGCTGAACTACGCGCGAACAGACAAGATGCTGTTTATTAACTGTTAGGCACAGGAGCAGCGTGTGTTCGCCAAAGTTAATTTATTTTTCGCGGACTCAGCATTTGTTCGGAGCGAAAGCAACCGGACTTTCGTCTCATTCAGCATTGGCCGGGTTTTCGTTGGAAAACTACTCTTTCACCAAAAGAGCTTTTAATAGCTTTCATTGCTGATTAAAAGCCAAGAGAACTAACAAGGTTCTTGATCAAATTTGAGTAAAACTTTGCACTTACAATTTAAATTCATTTATGTTCCACCGATATTCTATTTGAGATTATCAGCAAAATTAAACTAATATTTTGTGTGTTTTCATAAATGTAGGTGATTTATTATACTAAAAATGAACTTCATTGAATTTTCAGGCAGATGGCAAAATTATGCATGCATTCATCCAAAATTTTATTACGATTCAACAAATCTAATGTTTAGTTTGAAAACATTAAGAGTAACAGATAAAAACAAGTTCTTTTTGGCAAATTATGGTGGGGAACTGTTAGCCTAGTTCCATAAATTTAGCTGGGTTTTTTTGTTTCAATTGAAAATAAGGATTTTTGTTTCCAACAAAATTTATATATTATATTTTTGTTCAAAAATAAATATTTGTAAATTACAATTTTAAGCGAGTTTTTGCTCAAAATTGTTTGTTCTGGTTGATTTTAAAATAGATTGAAGGCTTTAAATAAATATTTTGCATATTTGTAGATTTCAGACATCAACTTAAACTTGCCAACTGCATTTTTCATTAAGATTTTTTAATTTTAAAATAATTATATTAGATATAATATTATATATTTAATCAATTGAAATTCAATTTTTACTTTTTTCATTAAAGGACCTTGCCGGGACACACGCCCTTATCTCCATCTCGCAGCCGTCGGGACAACTGGTGGCCATCAGGAGCCAGAGTTCCCTGCCCGGCAGCTCGAGACCGGCCGACACGATGCCCATCACTGCCGAAGCTGGTCGCACCGCTTCGCATAGCCTCAAGGTACGCGCACCCTAAAAAAAGAACTGCCACCGCCAATCCTCATTTTCATGCGCAGCAGCTTCCATTTGCATGCAGATTTTCTCTCACAGGGCCTAAGGCGATCTGAGTTGAATGCGAAAATCGAGAAGCACTTATTCAGCTAGAAGCCTTTTTTTCTTTTCTCCCAAAATTCGGGCAGTTTTTTTTAATTATTATATTTATTCTCATCTTCTTTTACTAACTTGGAAGTCGACCATTTTTCATGATAAATATTATATTTAAAAAAGTCTTTGAAAACTTCTAAATATAGTGCACAAAATTGAAAATAAATGAAATGTTGCTTCAAAAGATTTTGCTATGATATCTTCTGTTATATTTCATGTTTGTAATAAGTTGAACCTTATAAAAAATTAAAAATTAAGTTTTTTTTACTAGAATAAAAATTCAAATTTGAACTAGGCAGTGAATAGAGAATTTCACAATTTTATTGAAAATGGTATTAAAGCTAGATTAAAAATCTTTTGTGGTCCTTTTCAAACAATTCTCGCTTTTTATGTTAATTTAAACAGTAGGTGACTTTAAAATCAACTTTTATTGTCAAACCTTACAATAAAAATTAACCAGTTCCTTGATTTGGAAAATTTAAATGAATCTGTTGAAGACTTTGGATTTGATATTGTTTATTTTCACAGACGTGGAACGAGTGTGATGAAGTGCAGGACTACGTTACAATCTACGATGGTTACACCACCAGAGACCCGATTCTGATGCGTTTCTGCGGCGGCGGACAAGCCGTGCCTCCGGCTGTCTCGTCCGGGCCTGAACTACTCGTTGAGTTCACCAGTTCGCCTTATGGAACGTTTTTGGCTCCTCAAGGTGCGGGTGACCAAATGGCGACCAACTCATTTCCATCAGGTGGCGTCACCAGTGCCCTTCATGGATTTCAATTAGATGTGGAGGTATGTAATTTTATTCCATAATTAGATTACAGAAAACTATTCTTTTACTTGTTTTTAAATTAAAGAATTTGTAAATTTTTTATTATTTCTATAATATTATTTTGTAACTAAAATGTTATTTCTAAGTTTTTACAATATTGGGAATAAAATATAAATTATTTACATTTATAATTTAAATTCATTAAAATGCGTAGTGAGTATTTTTCAAGTTCAATGTGTCTACTTTAAATCAAACATTTTAATAGTATTTTCAATCTTTGTATGTAAAATAAACTTGGCTTTCCCGATTGATGAGTATTGAAAATTTATAAAATTATAACTATTGTGTCTTCTTGCCTAATGTTTGTTTAATAAATACATATTTCTCTTTATTAAGGATCACTTAGTTCAATTATTCAAATTTCGTCTGTTAATGTCTGTGTTTAAAAAAAATGAGTAATTAAGTTACATGGTTGTGCTCAACAGCGCTCAATAATTTTGCGTTTCTGTGCTCCGGCTCCTGGGCAAAAATGCGTACGCGCTTAAATTTTTTAAATGACGCGCCCACGATTTGCGCTCAAGTATTTTATTGTTTGGTAAAAAAAGTGTGACTTATTAAATGATTTTTTTCCATTTAAATATCAATCTACATGATCTGCAAGGTTGAACTGAAATAACCCAGTTTTGAAGTTTTTGGCATAAAAACAGTTTTTTTTTTTTAATTCAAATTTGTCCAAAATTGCTAATTTTTAACTTCCTTTTGAGCGCAAAATTAGCGCTGCGCTCAGCGACCAATGCGCCCATGCTCTGCTCATGTAACTTTAATTATTGTTTGATGAGTTTTTTTTATTGCTGAAAAATAAAAATGATTTAAGGTGAAATTCGTGCCTCTTCACACCCCAACCTATGCGCGCAATAAGAGGTGTGAATTCTGGATACGTCAGTCAACGGAGCTTCTGCCAAATGGAAGAAGGTAAATTAAAGAACCCCTGCCTAAGTGCCTATTCTTGCACAAAACCAACCAAATAAATCTCCATACCAATCCAATATGTCATTAAATATTTTTTTCCAAATACAAAATGTTAATTCCTTTAAATAATAAAAATACAGAATTCAACACATAAGCTATTGAACACAAACTAGAATCCTGAAATACATGTAATAATAAGCGCTTTTTACTGCTTTATACTTTCATTAATAATTAATAATACAATTTAAACTTTTATAACATTGATAAATTATTATTATCCCTTATTTAAATGTTTAGAAAGCCTAATTCAAACTGATTTCTATTATATAATCGAATTTACAAAAAAATAATGTACAATTTTCCTAAAAAGTATAACTTTTTTTTTTTTTTTTTTTACTTAAATTTTCACCTTATTAATTTTGAGCTCCATAAATAAGTTTGAAAAATCACTCTAGACATTTTATTGAACCTAACATTGATTCAAGACAGCCGTGTATCTCCTAACTGACTTTTAAATTTTTAAATGAAGTATATTTAAATCGTCTTTAATTTGGTTTAGTGACACGGGTGGTCGGCTGGAGAACCCAAAGCACTCATTAGCGCCGAACACGACTTGCCTGTACCACATTTCCGCCGCCGAGGTGAGCAGCAAAGTGTGGATTTCGATGCTCAAGTACCACGTAGACTCTTCTTTGGACCCTAAATATCAAGTCGAGAATTGCAGCGCGGAGCTGCGCATTTGGGACGGCGACGTGGCCGTGCCCATAAAACAGCACTGCGACAGTGGACCCTTTTGGTAAAAGAAAGGCAGAAGCACGTGTGGAATTAATTACGTTAAAACTTCGCAGCGAACGCACGCGCTACCCCGGCTCGCTCACCGCCACCGCCAACCCCGGGTCCGGTTTTGGCAAAAACGTGTCCCTCCTCGCCCACTACTGCAAAGACCTTGACGACAAAAGTTGCGAGCACCTGCTTCTAGCAAACGGCACAAGGAGGTAATTTTTTTTTTAATTTCAATATTTTACAAATATTTTAGTATTTAATTAGTTAAGAGTATTGAAAATTTAATCAGCCTTCAGTATGAAAAGAGTTAAATTATACTTATTTCTTCTGAACCAATCACAATTTGTTGTTTTGATGATTAAAAGAAATTGCGATTGATCAAAATGTATTAAAAATAGATTAATTTAAAGCCAAAGTTATTGATTGCATTATTGTAGACTAATAATTAACAATGATGATTTTTCAGAAGGTTGTTAGGGGAACATTAATCGTAATCAGCAGAGGGAAATTAAATAATTTTAAACGAGTAAAGTTGAAATTTATATTTTATTAAATCCACCAAAACAGATCAACCAAAGAAATTATTTTTTAATTTTTTTTACTTTTCTCTGATATATGGAACGAAATAACATTTCAGTCCGAGGCCATGCAGAGTTTCTTCAAGTGAAAGTTTTGTTTCGTCGGGCGCGAGTGTGACAATCGAATTGAGGCTGCAGGAATCGACGACCCTGCGACCTGTCAGGTTCGTCGCCCTGTACGAGTTCGTGGACCCACGACTGGACGGCGAGCCTTTTGGGACAGGTCCCTGCGACCGCCGCTTCGTCAGCAGACACAAAACGGGTCCTGTGCTGCCCTCGAACGTGCTCGTGCCTTTTCGAGATATGCGGGAAAACTCGTTCCGCTCCTCCAAAGACATTTTCCTCTTTGGCCGCGGAGGAGCCAGGCATCTCAAGTAAGTATAATTGGGGAATCCAATTTTAAACCAAAAAACTACTGGCTTGACAAAATTTGAAGATTTGGACCTTTGTTTGCAAAACTGAAGTGTTTTAGAAATAAATATATTACATATTTTTCTTTTGACGATGGGATTAACTTCCAAAATTTCCAGAACAAAAACTATTATATCTGATTTTCTTAAAATTTCCAATCCATAAACGTACACTTTTTGCAGTATTAATCTTTAAAATTAAATTAATCTTTTAAGATCTGAAAAAACCGTTTTTTGTTGGAAAAACGGCAGTGCTAGATGAGGCCGGTATTATGTGACGACCAGCGAATTAGGGCTGGATTTGAGTAATGAGGAAATTGTGCAGGTGCCGCTTCCGGTTTGAGGCAGAACTGGGCGAGCGCGTGAAATTGACCATCACGCGTTTGGCCACTGGACCAGGAAGGTGTCAAACAGTGCTGGATCCAGTTGTTGGCAGGCACAGATGCATTGGCAACAGAACGGCCACGGTCATGATACATGAAGTGCCTTGGAATCAGGTATTAACTTTTGCAAAGTTTTTTTTAATTATTAAATATTAAATTACTTTGTGAAGAATAAACAATTATAATTAACCAAGAAAGATAGTATTGTTGAATTTCTGATTTTAATACGACATGAAATTTATTAAAGGATTTTTTTAGTACAAATAAAAATAATCTTGGTGTATTCCCTTTAACATATGAGTGAATTAAAATTAAATTTCAATCAGACGCTGTCCTGTTGTGTAGAAATCCAATTTAAAAATATCAATTTTTCCCATCTTTTTGCTCTTGTTTTCCATTTTTCAATCATTTTACATTGATCATTGAATGATTTAATAGTCTATACTTTTGATTTTAAATTTGAAAGGAAGCAATATTACAACGATTTTTCTACAGTTTACTTATTTTTAATTCATTTCAAAGCATCAAGAGGATGCGGTTTTGGTGCCAAGAGAGTGCGCCTGTTCCTCCGAGGTGGCCCCTCTGATCTACGTGTCCACTTCGCACTCGGTAGAAATTGTGCTGGAGGCGAACGACATGGGGCCGCACTTGGACTACGATGACGTCATGGTCGAGGGCAGATACGAGTTCATCGCCACCCCTGCGTGCACAAGGAGCAGGAAAGTGACCGGCCCCAGTGGCGACATCACATTCAGGTCACCCAGCATTACAAATGATGAGGTGAATACAATAATTATTAATACTTCATCTATACATAAATCGTTTTTATCAACTTCAATTTGAACAAAATAAGGCAATTCGTGAATTATTTAATTGAGTCCCTAACAATTTTCTTTAATTTACCAACTTTCAAAGCAGATTTTATACAAAAATCAATAAAAATTTCGACTGAATTTTTTTGTGATTTGCCAGATTTACTGTGAAAACTACCCGTGGATGGTGGAGCCGGCCAACGGCAAGTACCTGTACGTGAAAGTGCGAGGTCACTTGATGCCCGACCCACTGCCCACACCTGACGCCAACGACACAAACAACCTGATCTTCCCTCGTCTGCCAGCGCACAACTGCCTCACCAAGAACAGACTGGTCATTTACTCGAGTGGTAAATTACGAGCCCTCGTTTGTCCGATGTCCTTCGACCGAGACTCGATGGTCCAAGTTTTCTCCGAAGGCTGGGAAATGCACGAAAACATCTCCGTGGGGCTCGACGAGACGAAAAGGCGACTGCTCGTCGAATTTGTGGCCAGGGAGCCTGGCTCATATTCTGTCTCTTGGTTGGAGGTGAGATCATTAAAATCTAAATTATACATATCAATTATACACTGTTAAAACAATAAAACTGCACAAAAAATGATATAAAAACATCTTAATGGACAGGTAATTAGGAACAGCTAGCGGTGTAATTTTTTATGTTTGAAAAGAAATAAATTGAAACAAAATAAAGTTAAATTTATTTATAATATTAAAAAAAATGTTAATTTGTTTGAAGAAACTGACACGCGAGGAGATGGTCATGGGAATAAAGAGATCAGGCTTTTCTTGGTCCCAAAAATTGTCTTTATTCAGAAAAATTTTCTTACCAGTTTTGATCATGGTCTGCGAGCCTATTTCATGAGCAAGAAAAGTACCAAAATTAGCAGAATTAAAAAAAAAACTTATAAGTGAACATATTAATTAAAATCTTAAAACTAACAAATTTAAGTACCAACCTATTTTAAAGTAAACTATTTTTATTTTAAAATGTTTTGCAAATTTAGTTATTTTTAATAAATTTGTTCATATTTCAAAATTTTATTTTAGCATTCCTGTTTTTTCTCTGCAATGAACCTTGCACGAACATTTTATTAATTCTGTTCTAATTAATTATAATGATATATAAATTTGTACTGCATATTTTAATCTGAATGAATATAGTAATTTACTTCGCAAATTAATATCTGTTGGATTTTATTCTTTTAGATTGAATGCATAATTATTAAATATTTTAAATTATAAAAATTATTAAAAGTTTTCACTTTAAAAAAAGTCATGACCAAAAAAAAACTAAAATCATTGTTTTTACCTGATTAGACTTTCAAGATAAGGAAGAAAAATATTTTTGCATAAGATTTACAATTAAAACTAATGGAAATGAAGAGTCGGGCTTTTCCTCGTTGTAAAATTGTTTTTTATTCAAAAAACAAATGGCTCTTTTGAATAGAAAACAATTTTACAACGAGGAAAAGCCCGACTCTTCATTTCCATGATCATCTCCTCGAGTGTCAATTTTTTCAAACAAATTAAAATTCAAAAAGGGGTTTTTCAGTTTTTGTGCCTAAATTTGGGTTAACCCTATTTTGAGGTCATATGTCGTGAGGGTCAATAACCTTAAGTGACCAAACCTAGATGACCAAAATGTTTTTCGATAGAAAAAGTAATTTGGATCACTTTTTTCGCATGTAAAACGTTTGTCCTATCTCTCTCATTATCAGATTCTACTTGATAATTAATTTCTATATCTGAATAGCAATTGTCACGTTTTTTAATATTTTTTAGGCTTGGCCTAGAGGTTGAAATCATTTAAAATAAATTTTTTTAATTTGAAATAAAATATTTTCAATTTATTTCGCCACTTTTAAATGTGAAAGAAACCTAAATAGACACACATGCTTTGCCCCCAAAAATTGATTGATTTTTTCCAAGCTTATTTGTTTAACTATAAATCTATTATCTTATTCTTCAAAAAAATCAATCAGTGTTTTAAATTGCGCGGAACTTGATTAAACATAAAAAGAATGTCCTGAATTCTATTACAAACAGTAAATAAAAAAATCACAAAAACTTGTTTATGTATTAAACATACATGGGCAGAGCGCACTTTGCGCTCTGCGATCTGCGCTCATGAGCGCGAGCGCAGAGCGCGATCGCACGATTTTCAAAATCGTGAGCGCGAGCGCATTGGTCGCTGAGCGCAGCGCTCAATTGCGCTCATTTTGCGCTCAAACTAAAAGTAAAAATTCCCGAATTTGATCAAAAATTGTAATGAAAAACAGTGTTTTTACACCAAAAACTTCAAAACTGATCCCAATTTTGGTGATTTAACTTCAACTTTAACATTTCCAATTGCCGATGCATTTTTTTTTATATTAAAAAATTATCTAAAAAGTCGCACTTTTTCTTCGGATAAAAATATTTTTGAGCGCAACGTGTGAGCGCAAGACTTTTAAAAAATTTGAGCGCGAGCGCAGAGCGCGAGCGCAACATTTTCAAAATCTTGAGCGCGAGCGCAGAGCGCGAGCGCACTGTTGCCAGTGATCGCGAGCGCGAGCGCAAAATTGTTGAGCGCACCCATGTATGGTATTAAATACTGATTTTTTTTAAACCTATTAGTTCCTATGTTAATTTATTTATTGCAAAATATTAATTACAAATATCACAGTTGATCTTTGGGTTTTCGTCTGTGATTCTAAAATTTTGGACATTTCAGGTTTCGCCAATTCGGAAACGGCAGGGACCAGCGATCCTGCCTCCGGCGGGCTTCGTGATGGGCAACACGGGTGGCGAGGACCCGTTCAGCCCGAATCACTGCTCGCACCGCTGCCCCGAACTGCAGGCGTGCATCAACTCGAGCCTCTTCTGCGACGGGGTGGTGCACTGCCCTTCGGGCTTCGACGAGGCCAGCGAGTCGTGCGCGCCCTATTTCCTGCGACTGCCGCAGCTGCTCTACCTACTAGTAGTGGTGGCGGCCCTGACCTCGCTGTGCGTCGCCCTCGGCGTCAGCACCTACAAGGCGTGCTACCGCCGACGCAAAAAACAGGCCAGGCTGCGCCTCCTGCTGCCCTCGGGCAGCTCCGGCAAGGACCTCTCCTTCAGCTGACAAACGGACACCGCCAACTCGTCCCTGTGCTACGTCGACCGCGTCACGACGGTCTAGGACGATTGGCGGTGTTGCTTCAAAATTACATAATATGTAAATTATTGTAAAATTTAATAATCCTCTTTTTATCTATTCGAAGTTATGTTTTTTTTGGGGGGACACAACGAATGCGACTGGACTGGTGAGCAAAAGTCACAAAAAGTTGAAATAGATCAAGATCTTTTCCATTTGAGAGAAAAACGAACATAAATTTTCTTATTCAATTTTGCTGTTAAAATTGATCTCTTAAAGTCTTAGAACTTCTTTATAGAAAATGAAAAGTTATTCATCTCATGACATAAATCAGATTAATATGAATAACTAAATTTAGCATTTTATATTTCAATGATTGAAATTCAATAAATTATCTTTTCTGCTTTAACTAATTTGACAATAAAGCACGCTAGAAAAACATTTTTCTGGAATTAAAAATAGCTTGAAAACTTTGCATCAGAGTGATACAATTTTCCTTCATCAGAAATGACTTTTTTCACCAGTCTACAAATAACTCACTTTCTGGCCTGTGGACTGCGGGGTTGAGCGAAACAGAGACTTTCCTGGAGGTTGGCACAAATAAAAGGTACTGCGCTTTCCCAGGGTTATATGTGCCAAATTTTGGCAAGAAAAAATAAAATACCATGACATTAGGAGAGATTTTGCTGAGCAGCATTTTAACAATTCATAAAATAGAGACTCACACAATATTCCAAACGTAAACAGTTTGGCGATGCAAAAAGGCTATTTTTCGTCACTGAGAAGAGAAGAGTAGAGATAATAGAATCACCGTGAAAGTAATTGCAAAATCCCGTGAAATTTTTATCTCTTGTATTAGGTCTCAAATTTCCAATCAAACGTTTAAAATCACGTCTTTTTCATGTGGAACACTTTGATTTTGAAGAAACTTGGTATGCAACTTGCACTACCTTCCTGTGTTGCGGAACAGCTTTAAACACAAATTTATCCCAAATTTGAGAATATTTGTTCATCAAGTTTCATCAAAACTTCAGTTTACCACGTCAAAATCACTAAATTTATAATTTCTATGTTTTCATGTTCCTTAAAATTCCAGGAGTGAAACTGTTCTAAGTTTTATTTGCACAAAAATAGAAAAATCATTCCCCTGCTGTTGCAAGTCTCTGGTATGACTCAAAAGTAACTAGTGCTCAGAATCGAACTAAAAAAGAGGTGATTAAATAACAGTTTTTAACGATTGTCGCCTTCCAGCCGAATAGAGCTGACAATGCAGAGTTGAAAGCAAAACATTCAGCCTCACCAAACACTAGAATTCGTTTTGGACCACATATCCCTTTTACAAAATAAGGCAGACTATAGGAGATTTAAGGTGAGTGGCGCAGGTTACAAAATACATAGTGATTTTTTATGCAAAAGGGTATAATAAATAAGAAGATATACACACTATCTATATTATGTATTAAATTAAAAAACAGCTGAATTGTGAAAAGTGTATGAAAATTGAGAAATTTGAAAGAGAAAATAATAACGAAAAAGGAGAAGTGCCAAATATGTACGTGTAGTTCACTCAAGGGCAGGTTCCACTTTAAAAATTCGTTACAAGAACAAAAATATATAATACGAGAAAAAAATGTGCGTTGTCTGTACTTGTGAAGTTAATGATGTTAGTCAGAGAGCTTCCAGATTGTTTAGCCGAAAAGAAATGTGCGTATCTTGTTCTTTTTTTAACATTATTCCACACAAGGAGATATACGTGTCTGCTTTTTTCACAGTTAATGATGAAAATATTCACTTTTTTTAACTTGTAATGAAATTCTCGTTCAAATGGCCAAGCGCACAATTTTAAATATTTATGATTTCACTCTTGTGTCCACGACGCTCACGCTGTTCAATCAGCCTAGTGGTGAAATGGGATAAAAGAAGCGGGATCTCGATGCATGATGACAATCTTGATCACAAAATATTGAAAACTGCGTTCATCTTCTCATCTGGTCAAAATCTATATGAAAAATGTTGTGTGTAATCTCTGTGTAAATGTCACCGAGGGATTGTTTCGTTGTTTGTTGGGAAGAAAATTACTGGAATTGTCTAATGTACGCAACCCGCTGAACACTAAAATGAATTTTATTCCTATCTTGTGAATCTCACTCCTCGGAAATTATCATGCTAATTTGGACAAAACTTATTTCAGTGTTAAACGGGGATAGCCAATTGATCTAAAAGAGATAGGAACGGTGCATTTTGAATGTTTTATCACATATTATTATGGGGACGATCTCGTATGTGCTTGTTATTCAGAATATTGAATCGTTGCATTATATATTGGTTGTTATTATTAAACAGATAAACTATATAATACTAATAGGGCGAAACGATCGATCTCTTTTTAGAAATCTAGGCGTATTTCTGCGACATTTTAAACGTGAGTGGAGAAAATGAAATGATTATGTATTTCAGCGAAAGCGCGCGTATATTCCAGTTTTATGTAAAACACGTAGAGTGCGATAATTAAGGCAGTTAAGTAATTTTTAAGAAAATTATCCACCTCTGTCAATAGTGGGCTATTCTTAAATACAGATCCTGTCAAAATTGTTATCCATCACGGTGACAATAAAACTCAATTTTTTAATAAAAACCATAAAGTTCGTTTCAATTTTTATATTTAATTAAATATAAGTATTATGAAATGAATCAATTTGAGATATTTTAATGTAATTATTGCTTCTGACTAACAATAAGACAGTAAATCACATTTTTTTAAATAATATATTCTCTCCTAGTTTAAAAAAATTGACAAAATGTTTTCTATGATTAAATTATTTTATAAATTATGATAATTGATTTTAATTATTCCTAATGAAACATTTTCATATGAGATGGTGTACTACAAGGCAATCTCTGCCTATAACGAGATACATCATCCAGATCAATTAATGTTTTTAACTTGAACATAGCTTTACTGATCCAATCAAATTAGCAAAAAGTATCTATTTTACTAAATAAAACCAATTATACTTAATTTAAAAAAAAGCCATTTTACAATATACTGGAGCCTTATTAATTGCAAAAATTATGTAATACTTTTACACAAATTGAGAAATGAAAGTATTTCTGTAGCTGGTGACCCGTGTGAAAACGGCCGGGGCGCCAACTGAGCATCCTCTGCCGCTGCCGAAAGAAGTGATGCCGATGAGGATGTACCTGCCGAGCGCATCCTGAGTCACCAGGGGGCCGCCGCTGTCACCCTAATTTCATTTGAAATTAATCACTTGTCAACAGCCACACTGAACTAATTACATTGCAAGTGCTGATGCCTCCGGTGGTGGCAACGCAGATTTTGTTGTTGTTTATTGCTGGACCGAAAACTCTGGCGCAGGCAGCGTTCGAGATGACCGTGAAATCGGCGTAGTTCAGGGTTGGACTGATGCTGCTGGATGCTATTGAATAGAAATAAGTTATTTATTAGGTAAAAATGAAAACAATCGAATTTACAGAATTTTCAGTCCTTTAAGATGGAACTCTTTATAATAAACAATAATCAATTTCCTTCACTATCTTACTATTTTTTTCTCTTTTCGAAGCAAAAATTTTATGAGCATTATTTAATTCAGTATTAATAAACTAGGTGCCGAAACGGAAAAAATTTTTTATTAAAAAGTTATGATATATGCCACCTTTAGGACTAATATACATATATAAAAGTTAAATTGTTTCCAGCGTTTTTGCAAATAATTGAATACTTAATTGATGATAATTATCTTTAAAAGATTATTTAAAAACCACAAAAAAATTTATTTTATTAAATAATTTTTTTTAGTTATTTGCTTTAAAACTACGACAATATTTTAATTAAAAAATATATATTGTTAAATAATAATGAGAAGCATAAAACTCATAAACTTGTTTGTTCTTACATTTTAAAACAATATTTAAATTAAAAGATGGATTTGTTCATGTATTAAAAACAAAATGTAACATTTTATAATTGAACAAAGGCATAAAGGCATGAATTTAAGAAAACAGAAAAAAATTCTTCTATTTTTCTTATATTTGGTAAGTTTAGCAACTTAAAATAAGTAAAATACAAAAAATTTAATTTTTAAACATAGAAAATGACTACATATATGTACATTAATTTATTGTTTATTGTGTATTGTATGTTTATTAAAATTAAACGTTTTTAAACGGATCAATTAAGCAAAATATTAATAATTACAAATATATTATATAACTTTGCTAAATTTTTGTCTTTCAAAATTAAAATTTTGGAATTGCTTTTATTTCATACGTTAATTTTGATACTGTTGTATTTAATAAAAGGCAATCTGCAAAGAAATTCAAAATAAAAGTGAACATAAAAGTAAATAACTCACCGTCAGAGATTTTGCCCCAACCGCTGCCCTTAGCCTTTGCGTTCTCGTAAGTGTTGGTCAAATCGGCAGGCAAGCGGACCGCAGACACATAGGCTGCAATATATTGAATCAAACAGGCATTCGGGCGCACAAACGAAATTGCTTACAATTGTAAGTAGCTGGCGCTGGAAGGCGAATGACGGCGATGTCGAAATCAATGTTGCGATTCAGGCTGCTGTAGCTCGGGTGGTTTGTGATCGCGCTCGAAAGGAACACCTGCCGCAAGTTGTCATCAAATTGCGAAACGTCCAGCGCTCCCAGGTACACGGTCACTCTGCTTGCCCTTTTGTAATAAAAAAATAACAATTGTTTAAAAATATATTTAAAAAAGTGAATAGGAAATTAAAATAAATCCTATATAAAAAACTAAATATGCTTGTTTTGGAAATGACTTGTTTTCGTGGTCAATTTTTCTTTCCTGTCTCTCGTTTGGAGAGTTGTTTGTCTCGAGTGTGACACTAACACAGATCCCGAAATGACAGTAGCAGGAGAAGAAATTTGATCCTCCGAATGCGTCAGCGCGTCACGTACAGATCGCCAGAGAAAAGTGGACATTCTTCTGTCTCAATCGTGTTTCACGCAGATCTGACTTTCTGACCAATTTCATTGAAATATTGTGAGATAATAATTTATGTTAAGGTTTAGTCTCTAACCAAAATAGAGTCAATTGAACAAATAATCTAACCCATACAAATTACTAATGCGCTGAAAGAAAAAAAAAACGATTAACGGATTTTTAACTTTTAAAGTTTCCTGAGTGGAAGCTGTCATTGGTGATTGTTTCATGGCTGACGCTCAAGGAACTTCTAAATTTAATTATTATTTTTACTTGCATCTCCATAAACAATTTTCTTATGTTAGTCATCTTAAGATCTCAACAATGGAGTTTTGATTTTTTTTCTGAACATTTCCGACTCCTTTACAAGAAGATAAAAGTTGTTATCGGGCAGTAAAACATAGGCCGATGCAAATTTTCGTTTTGGATATTTCGGAACAATTTAACTGATGCATTCTCAACATTTAGTATATATTAAAAATTTGCTTACGCAACGGTGCAATGGGCTGCAGTCAAAATGATGTTGGGCGCAATGAGGGAGCCGCCGCAGAAAGAGCGGCCGTCGATGAAAAGCGCCGCCTGCCAAGGAAACTGACCCCTGCTCGCCGCCTTACCGCCCACAATGCGAGGCGATATACCTGATGTGAACAAACTTTTTACCTCGCTTTCAATTTAATTTACGTGGTTTAAAGTTGTAATGAGAGAGTGAGTTAGTTACCTGTGATTGGCACAATCGGCTCGACCTGCACGTTGGCCGGCTTAAAGTTGGACCATTCAATTACTTCGCAGCTCTGCAGTATTGAATATCATTTACAACAACATAATTAATGGGAATGTCATTTTTTTCCTGATCTTTTGAATCTAATTATATGGTAATGCTACTCTATGATTCATGCTATAATGTATCGTCCTATGAAAAATTTCATTCACTTCCTTGGTGTTTTATCTCATTAATATGCGAAATTTCATGAACATTATATAAATCACTAATCCCTTTTTGGGTCGAAGCTGGAATAACTTTTTAAGTTTAAAATACATATAATATATGGTACCAACTTCATGAATAATATTAAATTGTTCACAGCGTTTTTACAAATAAATGAAAACGTGCATGAGGATAATTTTCCTTTTAAATGATTCTCTAAAAGCCGCATAATTTTATTTATTTAATCCATAAATTATTAAAAATTGCTTAAAAATATTTAAATATTTTAATTAAGAATTAAATGTTATCTTAATATGAAACATAAAACTTTTAAACTTATTCGCTTATAAAATTTTAACAATATTTAAATTAAAGGATTAAATTCTTCTTTTAATTTTGGAATATTGTACTGCATTTTAATTTGTTTATAACTTGCTTAAATTTTTCCCAATGGCTTACCAGTGTTGAAGAAAAAATATTACAGAAAATGCGATAAAAAAGTAATCCAAAGTGACTAATTTTAATTGCTTTTATCACTATAGGACGCAATTGAATTTCAAGTGTTCAAAAACATAATTAAAACTATAATTAGTAATTAAAAAATATATGAAATCATATGAAATGAGAAGCTGAGAATCGAGTTCTGATTGCGAATAAAGTTGCTCTGATTGCGTGGGTGCGCATTTCCGGCAATGGCGTTTTGCAATAGTTGAAGGGCCGCAATCAGTGCACACCTCTTGTTCGACTTGAAAAGCGAGCATTGACTTTGTACTCACGGCAGCCGCTGCAAGGGCCAGCAGGACAAGGAGAGAAGCGTTCTGCATCCTTTCGCTTTGCAGGAACAATTTTACGTTTGCTCGTCTCAAATCCACATTTATACCGTCGGTCGGCTCGGCTTATCTTAATTGCACTTGGTCTTTATATGATGATAAAAAAAAATAAGAAGTTTACAATTTAAGGATCACGCATTATTTGCGGAAACTCGTGCTTTCTCGACGTCGACGCAGCGCACCGGTGACGTACCTGACTGGCTGCGAGAGGTCGTAAAAGTTGAAAAGATAATGTACGCCTTGACACACACACACTTGATTTGCGCACTTTTAAATTCTGGAAAACTCAATTGGTTTACAACTTTATTGTGTGTGACAAAGTAAATTGTCATTTCTCAGAACGGAAAATAATGGAATCAAATTAGACATTCATATTTATTGCCGATTCCGCAATTAATGAAGGAGAATTTATAATTAAATTAATTTTTTCAACATTAATTTTTTTCTGATAAAAATCAAACTTTCCTGGCTATGGGAACAGTGGTCTTGCATTATTATTGGTCACTTGTCGTATGCAGCAGGTAATTATTTTCGTTTGGTGAGTTTTTGAGTCATTTATTGTTTCATAAAAAACAAAGTACAAAATTATGTATAATTTTTAAAGCTTATATGAATAATTTGAAATGCAAAGTTAAATTCGACAAATAAATCAATTATAGAAAAATTCATTTTTTTCTCTTAAAAATAAATTAAATACTCAATCTTGACCTCCGAGTGATGACCCTGTTGTGAAATTGTGATCTTGTATGATTTGTGAACGGTACCGATATTCAGCATTAATTTTTATTATTTTTTAACCTCCCTGATATCACCTGAGATCTAAATTAACCCTTTCCGTCACAGTGACCTTTGTTTTATAAAATAAATATTTTATATATTTTAAATATAAATATGTTAAAGTATATTTTTACAAAAAAATTTGTTTCTTTTAATATTTATTATTAATAATTAAAATGATATTTTTATTTTTTTATATTATTTTAAATTTATTTTTAGGTATTATTTTTAAAGCAGGCAGTGATGTTTGATGTAACAAATTTATACTAATTTAAATTTGCTATTTTTATAATACTTGTTTGAACGTGCATCTTGACACGTAGTCCTCAGCGTTCTAAATTTACCGACCCGCCCAGCGTACGTTCAACAAACTTCTTTGTTATAAATTTGACCTGCTATCGTCGATCACTGGTGTCGCGACTCGCTACAGTAATTATTTCCTTCCAGTTGAAAACAAATCCTCCGATTGTTTGGCATTTCCACCCAGCAAATTGCGCGAAACCTGAGATCACAGGCAGATTGATTGCACGTGGAAATTTCGCCTTCCAACGGTTGCGACATTTTGACTGGTCTCGTTAATTGCGAAGGGGCCCGTCGGTCCAGCTCCTTGTTTTTCAGCCCTGCCGATGGGCGCGAGCAATTAGCTCCTCGCCTCTTCCATAGGCTCGCGCTGCGTAAACAAGCCTAATTAACAGCCGGCAACAATAACACAGACAAATTGCTTTCTCAAATTAAGTGGACGACAAATTCCTTGGCCTTGGTGAAATTTACACCGGCCAGCAACACTCTGATCACAACATAACAAGTTGCATATTTTGTGAAAAAAAACCAGTTTATTCCAGATTAGTCTGTAATGCAATTTCATTAAATTAAATAATAATAATTCTGTAAAATCTGTTTTTAGCAAATGTCAAAAGTGGGGTAACAACTTCCATTGTCTATTATTTGCACGGAAATAACTGAAAATGCTTAATTTATTTTTAAAGTTGGGTTTTGTCACCCATAGGAGGCATCAAATTTAAGTTTGAAATTTTCAAATCTCACAAACAAAACATTATTTTTTTCTTCTAAAATTTGAACTTATATACGTTAAGGTGACGCACAAAAGGGAAATAAGATTATCAAGGAGCCAAAGTGCTGCTGTCATTCTAGTTTATTGTGCGACCGATGCATCACCACACATTGTCAACCTAAAACACTGAAACGCTCTCTCGGCAATGCCAAATTTCCCCAAAATGGGTCGACAGCCAGACTGACCTTTTCAACTTGCCAAAGAGCATCTCTCTTTATTCAAGAACTCTGAAATCCGAGGGCGTGAAGGAAAATATTTTTTTACTGCGTTTTTTTGTTCATCCTGGAATTTTAATTAGTGTACGGCACGATGAGAAAAGCTGCTTTTGTGTTTCGATTTGAAAAGCTGGCATTTCTTTCAAGCATGGACTTCTTTCAGCCCCTATAAATTAAATTACCAAGCGTTTTGTTCCTCCACATCCATCCAGGCATAAACGGTTTATGAGCAGGCGAACAGGAAGCTGATGTTTCTGTAATCAAGTTTCGCAGGTTATGAACCTCTCTATCTCTAAGCGGGTAGTTTTCAAAGTTTTGCAGTGCGTGCCGCCAACCGCAAAATGCCGCAGTGTTGGTGAAGTCACCCCTGTTTTAGGGTTGTACGTGGGCGATCGTCAGTTCTCCAAGCTTCATCCATTGTGACCATTGTTACCTCTATTAAAATTATCACCATTCATAAGCATCATGTATGGCAGTAAATTTGTTTGAGCTTAAAATCATACAGGAAAAAGAATTATACTTTTTATTATTTTGTAAAACGTAAATTTGTATAAATATTTATTTAAAAAATATGTACAGAGACACTTATTTTTTTAAATAATAAAAAAAAAATCAATAAATTTAAAAAATAATTAAATTAAAATATATTATTTATATTATTATATTATTATTAAATATAAAATTTTATTTTTATTTCTTTTAATAAAATTAAAACACAAAATTAAAACGTGAAATAATAATATTTATGTTTAAATTTATTGTACGAATACCTACTTCTTATATAAGCTTAGCAAGATGATGATTTCACGGGATTGAAAAAAATATATTTACTTACTATATGGTTACACTTACAATTAGATATTTTTATGTAATGCCTTGAAACATTTTTTTTTTAAACGTAACGAAGTAATCTACCAAAATTGAGATATATGTTGTGTTTGAAAAAAACAAAAAAAAAATATATAAGCTAGAACTTCCCCTAAATGCGTTCTAGCTGTTAGGTATTAGCATAAATTGTAAGTAAAATTAAGGAAGACCAGAGTGAATTACAATAATTTAATTAGAATTTATTTGAGCCAAGAAACCTATTAAAAAAAAAAAAAACACTGTTGAAACCCTTCAAGAATATGTAATTGATCTTCAATTTTTGTTTTAAATGATAACTCTCCGGAGAAACTTTCGAAAGCTTTATTTACTATTTTCCAATAAAGTAATTAAAAAAAATTGAAATCTTTTTAAGCATATTCCTCAGTATTTAAATATGACATTATTAAAAAATTGGTAAATTTTAATCTTTTTTATACAAACTCGTTCCTTCTTCCACTGATCCTCCATATAATGAAATCCTACCCCATATACAAGCAATCTGGTCAGCATAAAAACTATTAAAGCAAGTCTTAGCTCAACTAAAGCCTTTTGACGCACGGCCAAGTTAAGCAGACGGAATTTTCTCTCGTTAATAAATATCAGAAGCCCGCACACGAATATTAATCTTGGGCTTAAATTGCGGCCCAAGTCTGGAACGAAAAGAAAAATTCATCAAGCCACAAAGTAGCGCCATCAATCTAAAAAGACGCAATTTATCGCAATTAAGCGGCAGTGTGTACTGCGGCCAGTGTCTAATCATTACTAATTAGACTTGATTATGTGCAGCAGGTGAAACGTAAGTGGGATTATATTTGTAGGTGTGTGTGCGCGTGTAATTCCATTTGGCCGGCGAGCATGGAAGCCGCTTGTAGCGCTAATAGCTCGGCCCATTTCATCAATCATGCGCCATTGACAGCACACAATCTCTCACCACCCACTCCTTGACGTCCACATAGACACACGTGTATTTGTAAAGACGGGAAGTCTTCTTTTCCGACTCGACGCTCCCAAGAAGACGAAGAGGAAACTCTTGAAAATTGAGCATGCAGCCTGTCGAGCACCTGAGTCGAGCCGGTTGCCTAACAGGTTGTCGCATATGCACCTCATATATCGACCGCCAATTATCGCCATTCATAATTAACGACTCGTAATGGCTCGTTTATTAATTATGCGTGGGGGGGGGAGGGCGGTAAATCAAAGCGCAGGAATTATTGCGGTCGTTGCAATTTATTCATTTGAGCTTTTTGCTGTCATTTGCACTCGACGTGTGTGTATCGATGGCTTTTTTACACAAGTTAATATTTATTCAAATATTTGGTTACAGTGGTCAGCACGTTTTGTTTACTTCGAACGGTGGTTACACTGATTATAACTTACTCACGAATGTGGACTTTTTGCTCTTTGTATCCAAATTTTGTTTGTGCTTTATAAACGCTGCTCAATTCAATAATTTTTATTGGAAATTCATCTGGATAAATATTAAATCTAACAAATAAGTTCATTGCCAATCGGTATCAACAAGTGTCAGTCAGATTTATTTATTATGTTATAATAAAATCTGAATTTTATTCCTCCATTTTGTAATATTTACAATTCTGAAAAATAATTTTTTTCTTCTATCGAAGGTTGAATTATAAAATTATTCTTCCTTCTATTATTATTTTTCAACAAAAAGCGTTATGAAATGATTTGGAAAATCAAGAAACAATAAAATAAATTTAACAATAAGAGTAATTTTATATTATAGAATAATAAAGCACCTGAAAACGAAAGAAGGGTTGTGAAATGATTGAATAATATGCTGGGGTCAGAAACAATGTTGGTTTATTTGATAAAAATAAGTGGCCACAACGCTGATGGTACAGAAATAATATAAAGAACACGTGCGTTCAGGTAGACTAAAACTCCATTTAATAATTTTAATCAACTCTCTCAATCGTCAGTTTAATATATGGATAGGATTTTTTTTAAAAGCCAACAGACTTTCAGCCGATCAATAAGTAACGCTTGCTCTCTTTCTCTCTGGTGATGATTCAATAATTCAAAGATAATCTTTTTATTAACATTTACTTAGGTCATAATTAAATATTCACGTCTTTCGTCACATCGATTTCTCTTCACCTGCTCTCTGCTGCTGACGATAAGGTTTTTGCTAGAGTTTTCTCAGTGTTAAATGACAGACATTGAGAGGAGAGAGAAAGGAGAAGAACAACAAGAGAGCGCAGGAAAGTGTCTATGAATTGAATGTGTTTGAAAATGTGCGTTTTCTTCTAGTTGGGCTTGGCCAACATTCTTGTTTTCTGCTGCTGCTGCTGGAAGGCCTGCAGCTCCTCCGTCGAGATTTCCCGCTTTCCCAGTCCGAATGAGTATTGCCTGTTCGTCCTTTTGCCCAAACCGAAGCTGTACTGCCGCCCACCGCCGCCCGTCAACCGCTTGCCCAGGCCGAAACTGTATTTGCTCGGCGCTCTTTTGCCCAATCCGAAGCTGTACGGGTTTTTGCCGAAACGTTTGCCCAAACCAAAGGTGTAAGGACCGGCGGCACGTTTGTCCTCGTTCAGCTCGTCACTGTCCTCGTCTTCGTAGGACGCGTCGAATTCCTCCTCTGTCTCGTCGTCGTCAAACTGAAACAGTTCAATCAGAGGACATGGAAGATTTTATGATTTTTGTCACGATTTTCAATGATATTGTTAAGTAAATATGCTTAGAGGGAGTGAAATTGATCGAAGGTTAAAATGATAATCAGAAAATTGAAAAATAGCGAGAGAATAACTTATAAACGCGAAAGTAAAAATAATTTTAAGGATTCAATTTTATGTTGAATATAAATGGCGAATCTGCTGTTATTTTAACTCAGTATTATTTTCATAAATTGAAAAAGTAGTTAATTCTCAAGCATTTCATTAACTCAGTATTTTAGCTTGAGGCTCAATGAGTGCATAAAATTATGGATCCAAAATTACATTAACTAAATTGAACTGAATAAACTTTCTTTCTAACTAAATAATTTTAACTATGCATAGACATCAAGGGGAAAAAGCATTGAATTAAAATTAGAATGAATTTTTTGCTAAAAAAAAATCCCAATAAAAAGAGAAAAATGGATTAAATTAATAAACAGTATGTTCAAAGAAAACTCACCGTGTTGTCAGACGGAGCAAAGTCCATGGACCTTTTGCCGAGGCCGAACGAGTAGAGGTTGTTTGGCCTCTTGCCGAGGCCGAACGAGTACTGGCGGCCGCCGCCGCGCTCGCGTTTGCCGAGGCCAAAGGCGTAGTACTTGTTGTTGGGCGGCGGCGAGCGTTTGCCCAGTCCGAAGTTGTACACGGGCAGTCTCTTGTACTCGGACACGTAGTAGGCGCGCTTATTGACCGCGGGAATCGCGTTGTTGCTCAGGTACTGCCAGTCGAGGTCGTCCTCCTCGCCGGCCGCCGACGCCGCAGCATCGTGCTGGTGCTCGGGGGCGGCCGCCGACGACACCTCGGTGCCTTCGGGGGCGGCCGAAGCGCGGCAGCAGTGCAAGGCGAGCGCGACCAGCAGCAATCGGCGGCAACAAACTCCACCATTTTCGCTGCCCATTCCTGCAAACATCATTTTTGGAGAAGTTAATTTTAACTCTTGATCAAAACGGTGATTGACGCTGATTATCAGTACATTAACAATAATGCAGTGACGAGTGAGAGAGAATAAAATCTAAAGGCTATAGAGAAAACAACTCTTTCACTCTAATTAATTTTGTTGCGTGAATAAAACAGTCTTTACTATCTTGACTTTCAAATTAAAAATAAGATTATTTTAAATTTTAATAGAAAAATGAAAAACTATGTATCTACTTTTAAGAAATGTTTTCAATTAAGTAAAATTTAATATAAAAAAAGGGGGAAATATTATTTATAAATAATATATAATTAATATAATAATATAATGTATAATTATAATAGTAATTTATAAAATATAACTTTTAAATAAAAAAAATTAATCTATTCTTTTCATAAGTTGTGGAACTATTTTGTTGTAGTTGCTCCCTTGCTGTCTTATTTTTAAAATTGAAATAACTAACCAAACGAGTCAGAAGAATTTATAATTCATATTTGAAGAAGTGAAATATAAGTAATGATAGAATGTGAACATTAGTTCCACTTTTATGTTTAAGTTAATAAGAGCGGATAATATAAAACCATAAATAACAAACTGAAAAACTTTAATTTCAATATTTGATTAAAATACTAAGCTGGCGGAGTTAGTTCAACTAGCCCTTTCAGATTTTACAGGTTTTTAAAACAGTTCTGCTATGATAGAGTCATCAATTTTTTTACTCTGTGTAAAAAAGCGATTGATTATTTTTGTACGTAACAAATAGCTCCTGTCCAATTCATTTCTCTTGTCTGAACCGACCGACATATTGTCTGCACGGATTGAACTTTTAATCTGTCAAATGAACGCCAGCGTACAGATCGTCGCCAGGGCTGGAAAGCGAGGCAAAAAAAAGGCGGATCGCAGAGATCGGAGCAGAAAAGCTCTCTGGCTGTTTCGCGTGCCGCTCGCGCCGGCAAAATTGTTATCTTGAGCAAATATTAGCGGCTTGGAAATCAACAAACAGAGCAGACATTCACACGCCTTATATTGTATACCTGCATTTCAAATAGCGCCGCACTTATTTATTTGTTTGTTCGCCCCGTTTGCTCTTCTCTGCGCTCACGGTGTAATTGTGTGTGAAATCCCGGTGTTGGTCTTTGCAAATTTGCCAGCAAGTCCCGAGACGCGCGTAGATCAGGTTTAATGCATGGTTCAGCCTCAACACGAAAAAGGTTGGGAAATTTTCTTTGCAAAATTCTCCAGGGATATGACTAGCTATAGCAACTTTTGTTTAAATTTTTGTAAAGGTGGATTTAGTAGGTTCTGGAATGACTTTTGCGAAATTAAATTTTTGATTATTTATGGGATTATACTGATGAAGACAGTTTTCAATCCTTTTATATACTTTTAATTTCAATTAAAATGGAAAGATTTAAGATATTTAAAATTACTAAACAACTTCATTGGTAATTTCCACAACTCTGTCTGAGATTTTCAACTACTTTAAGTGATTTTAAAAATTTATGTATTTTTATTTTTTGGCTAATTTTTTTAATATAATTCCATCTGCAACAACAAATTCCAATAAATATTTAGCTATAAATTTCCTTTGTAATAAATTTACTGTTAGCTAAAGTTTTGCTACAAATTAATTCGAAAAATTAAAATTTATTATTTTCATTTTCTTTTATTTCTGAGGATTTGATCAACGAGTCAAAGGCGTGAATGTGTATGGAAATTATGTGAAATCCACTTAAGCCGAGCGTGTTTGTTTTTATTCGTCAAAAGCTTGAAGCCGTTTTACGCGAGCAAAATCACACAATGCTGCAAAGCGCAGAGCACTCAATGTTGAGAGTTTAGATTTGCGGTCTCGGCTGTAAATTTAATTACGCGAACGCGAGTGCACTCGTGCGCTGCGAGAGCACGTGTGAAAAGACTGAAAAGGCGCGCGAGAGCAGCAGCGCTTGCCAATGAGTATTTCCCCATGGGTCAATTGTCAAGTAAAAAAAAACCTGCGTTTTTAATCTCCGTAATGTGTCTCGGCTGCCTCTTTATCATTGCACGGCCTTACTGAAAACTTTGAAAAGATGCAAAAGTTAATTTTCACTCATTAGAATTTATTTTCCGCTTTCAAGGGGCAAAACGAATCAAGCAGCAAAATATCAAATGAACAAAATATTTATTTATAAATTTGTTTAGCACTTCTGAATTTGTAGCATGACTTTGTTAATAGAAATTTTTTTCGCAAGATTTATATAAAAATTAAAACTATTTTTCATTTGGTAAGAATACATTTGAAAATATGTAATTTGATATCTTTCAAAGTTGGAAAAAATGACAAGTGCGTTTTAAAAATTCATTTCCCTTTAGTGGAAAACCACGTGCCATGAAATAGAATTTGACGACAAGCCCAGAGGCAATTGCAGTTCTGTGAGCCGACGTGCTGCGAGTAAATGTGCTTCAGCTGCAAATAACATCGCAAATTCGGAAGTTTCGCGTGCACACCGTGACACATCAGCGGTTTGAATACAAAGTAAGTGAAAGAGCTGTCTGTCTGCGCGCTATCTGATTTTGAAAAGGATAACAGCAGCAACGCAGCTTTCAACGTCAGCGCAAACTGTTAATTAATTAGAGAAGAAAATTCTGCTTGTTTTCCTTCAGTCAGGATTTTTCAATGCAGCAGTGTAAGCCAATTATAATTCTAATAAAATTAAAAAATATTAATGTTTTAAATGCTATTGATGAACTTATTCTTGGTAGCCAAATTTAATTTAGACTTCTCTAGAAAATGCAATTAAAAATTTATTTTTTCACAATTTGTATACAATAGTTTGATGTGGTTGTAAATTTTGAAATATTTTAAAATAAACAGAATACAAGGAAGTGGAAAAAGGAAAAAGAAATGTTTTACAGAATACTCTAATTTCTAAATTATGTGAATGAGACTATAACTTTGAATGGAAAGTTTTTAACATTTTATAATCAAGCATTTATTTTTAATAATCCTACTCATAACGCAATTATAGAGCTTTCGCCATACCTATATGCTAAAAATCCAACACTTGATAAATTTGTAGATTATATGGATATATTTGTAATTTAAAAAATTTATTGAAAAACTAATGCCTTTCTTTGCAGCCAATGCTACTTACGTAAAAATAATTGTTTAATTCTAAAAAGCTATAAAAATGATACAAATAAACATTATAAAATATAATATTGTAATAAGTAATAACCATAAAGTAATATTTATTTAAATAATTTTAAATTTAATGTAAACACTGTGATTTTTTTACTTTGTACAACTTTTACTAAATTTAGAAAAGTTTGCAAAGCAATTTGTAATGTGGTGCGTGACAAAATATAATCAAAGTCTTTCACTTCACTTAATTTTCTAATGGTCTAAAAATTGAAATATTTGGATTTCAATAATAATTATTTTGAAAATATTTTCCTTGAATCTTTAGTGCCACACTTTCACAATCCTTATCAATTTGAGGTTAATGATTTTAATTTTTACAATAAGATAAATTGCATATATAACAAAAGAAAATCAGTTACCAAGATTAATGAGACCTAAGGATATTCCATGAAAATGACATTTAAAAATTTAATTCGCTATCAAGGACATTAAATTTTTTATCATTTTTTTTTTCATAATTAGCTTGCGGCCCATCTTGGCGCGGACCTCTCTTGGGGCTTCGTGTTTTAGCGACTTGTTTGCCAGAGGTGCTGCCATTTCTTCACATTATTTTCTTCATTTCATGTATGACTAATTTGTGAAGAATAAACGATAATAATACCAAAATAAGTGGAATGTGGCAAAATGATCTTGCTGTGTAAATTTTTTTTAGGTTGAGATTCTCAATCAACACTTTCCTCGTTTGTCAGTTGTCACATATTAAATAAAAATAGACTTTAGATTCGGCAACAGGTGAAACTTTTGAGGTTTTTGGTGTTGAAAAAGAGCACCGTCGCTGCCAGCAATTAGTCGCCTGACGTGAAACAGACAAAAGGTCCAGGCGATTCCTTCTTTCACTCGCTGCGAATTCTTTGTCTCTCCGAGACTGACACAGGATTCGTCATCACCCGATCCGTCGAGTGGCACTTTTGCTGACGATTCGAATCACGACCGACGCGGCCAATTAGCATGCGGAATAATTAATGAGAGGATCAACTTGCACTGCAAAGGGAAATCGGAACTTGCAAAAGGACGACGCAGCAGGTGTTTGAATTTGTCCGGCAGAACGCGGGTTAATTATTCTCAACCTACACAAACTCCAAATTAGTGGCTTTGGGACATGCTCTGCCGATTTTTTGCATTAATCCCTCAACGTTTGACTCTTTCCGGTGCCATTTATGCCAAATTTAAAAGGCAAAGTATTGAAACAAAAATATAACCAGCAATGAACCTCTGAACATTTCATTTTTTAATCCAGCCATTTGCAAATAAAAGAGAGACAAATTCTTAAAATCGTTTTTAATTAGGAATAACGTGAAATTCCGAGCATGCAAAAACACGACGGTCAAAAATTTGATATCAGAATCCTGCAATAGTTCTCTAAAAAACAATAAATAAATGGAAATTTTAAACCAAAAACCCAAAGGGAAGTAAAAGTTGAGGTCTTGTGATTAGATTAATGCACCGCAGCGTCGCCAGGCATCGTCTGCAGTAATTTATTTGATCAAATATCCACCTGAATTTCTTCGCCCTTTGAAAATCGTAGTGAATTTTCAGCGAGGAATCAATAAAGCTGATTAATCACACCATACTGAAAATACACCATCTTTTTCAAATTAAATAAAGTTAAAATTGACTTTTACAAATTAAAAGGTATTTTTTTTTTATATATATATATAAAAATATTAACTCGTTAACTTGCACTTGAGCGGAAATACTTCAACTCTGATTATTTTCAAAAGCCGAAATTCCCTCGTTCTGCATTTTGAGTAATTAAAGTGGCGCACCAGCATAGTCTCGGGACGACCATTGGCGCGTATCTTC